GAATGGATGACCTGAGTGATTTCCTGAGACAAAGGAATATTCCAGAGGAAACTATGGAGACCATGCTGAGAGAGAAGGTACTAGCTGAAAAAAAAATCAGTATTTCAAAAACTACACATGCTCTTTAGAGCATGTGTCTAGCAATGTTATCTAATTTAATTCAAATCATTTGCATGCAATTATAATTCCATTTTTAAACAAATTATATGTTATTGTCCTTATTTAGATTGATACCAACGTCATGTAGCTCATGACAGATGAAGACTTATTTGCCATCATATGGAGACCACATAACCCTGTTAGGATACTGTAAAAAAAAAAAAAAAGCCCCCCCAAACAGTCGCAATCAAAGCTGTTTGAGCGCCTAAAATCAAAGCTGGGTAAAAGAAGAACTGCTCATGAAGAAAGAGTAATCTGAAACAACTGTAAAGAAGAATGCTCTGAAGTCAAAGAGAAAAATAGAAATATGCTGTTTTGTGCAGAACAGCTGTGGGTTTGTTTAAAGGTAGGTCATCAAAACTCAACAAAGCTTCTTAGCACTACTTTTCTAAAAATATGTACTATCAATGATTTGGAATCTGTAAAGACTTTTGCTGCAAAAAGCTGTGTTGTTAATACTTATCATTAGTATTAAGTACAAAATGTTTGTATTTAATACAAACATTTTGCTCTTTCCCTGGCCATTTTTTTTGTTATGAAATATGCAGCATTTAATGTCAATTACTTTATTATTGTTGCCAAAGAAATGTCTTATCGTAAGGAGTAGAGATATTCTACCAGACATGCAGAAGTTCTGCATTTTCAGATCTGTTAACTTTCAGGGGAGCAGTCAAAAATTCTCTCTGGAGAGCCATGATGCCAAACAATAAAATGTAGTTGACTTTTGTTTTGCCATTATTAATTGTTAGCTGACACAATAAATCATAAGAGGTAAAGTGAAAATGACTGTAGGAAATGTTTAGACGTTCACAGGCAGAACAAACAAAAATAGGAACTGTTTATTGTAACTTTTTATGAGACACAACTGTGTTGACTGTTGTATTTGTTACATTGCATTCATATTCATCAAATCATTTTCTGATTATTATTAATTTTTTCGTTTTTACACATTGGATTTCTTTTGTGGAAGGTTATAAAAAGGGTCTTTTTGTTTTACTGGGCACAACTTGGTATATTCCTTTATCTTAAGTGGACTATGCAACAAGGAGAGTTTTTTT